ATGCGTGTCAATGAGGTGTGAGTCAGAACTTGTATCTGTATCTGGAAAAAGATCTGAAGTAATAGACATGAATAAAAGAGACGCCGAATCAAACGGAATGTGGAACTTAGAAAAGGAGGAAAAGGTAGTATGCTCCCAAAAGGTAACATGACGCGAAATACGCAACCGATTAGAAATCGGATCCCAACACCTAAATCCTTTGTGTTCTACCCCATAACCCAAAAAACAACACAGACGAGCTCGGGGTTCTAATTTGGTCCGCTCATGGGACGGAAGAAGTACAAAGCAAACACAACCAAAAGGACGTAACTGAGTATAATCAGGAGACTGACCGTACAACCTCTCAAAAGGACTGACATCACTAATGACTGATGAGGGTAACTGATTGATAGCATAAACAGCAGTCAAGGCTGCTTCACCCCAAAAACGATCAGGACACTGAGCAGAAAGAAGAAGAGCCCGGACAGTATCAAGAATGTGACGGTGTTTACGTTCAGCTCGTCCATTTTGTTGGGAAGTATATGGACACGAACACTGAACTAAGGTGCCCTGATCAGAAAGAAATTTCAAAAAAGTAGAATCTTTGTACTCAAGAGCATTATCAGTACGCCAGACCTTTATAGGACAAGAAAATTGTGTAAGAATCATGTTAGCAAATTGAACATATATGCTAGACAACTCAGAACGATTCTTGAGAAAATAGATCCAGGTAAAACGAGAAAAATCATCAACAAAAATAACAAAATACCGAAAACCACTCAGAGAAGCAACAGGAGAAGAACCCCAAATATCAGAATGTATCAAACCAAAAGGGTTATCAGCAGTTGACAAACTATCAGAAAAAGAAAGAGCCGGTTGTTTCCCAAGTTTGCAATGAAGACAACTAAATGACTCAAAATGACCTGAACCTAAAAGACCCATATTATATAAAGAACGAACTTTATTTGAAGACGCATGCCCAAGACGAAGATGCCACTGGAAACTAGACTTACTTTCGGTGTCAGAAGCAGAAAAAGAGTAAGAACGAGGGACATGAAGTGACTCAAGCTCAAATAACCGGCCCGTCTTGCGACCTTTCCTGAGAAGTTGTCCCGTCTGTGAATCCTGAACCTGAACACCAGAAGAAGAAAATATAACATTAAGACCTTGGTCAACCAATTGACCAACAGAAATAAGATTCAAGGTCAAGTCAGGAATGCAGTATGTGTCGGGAAGATGCAAGGAAGGGGATGAAATCAAACCAGTGTGAGTAACATTCATAAGAGTACCATTAGCAGTATGTATAGGAGGTAAAGAGGTTACGAAAGACGAAGAAGACAAAAGCTGTGGGCTAGAGGTCATGTGATTGCAACAGCCAGAATCAAAATACTAATGTGATTTACCTCCGGTAGCAGACATAGAAGAATTGGAAAGAATAATCTGTTTGAGAATAGCTTCTATGTCTTGAAGAGTGTAAGACGGATGCTGAGGCTCAGTAGTGACAGCCGCTGTAACAGAAGAAGCGGCGGTGGAGGAAGACCCACGATGTCGAGAGAATGAACCTCTTGAACAGTGTGATCTGGCTGGACAATATGTAGCAATATGACCCCGAACATGGCAAATGTGGCATACCACCATAGGACAAAATGGAGCAATGTGACCCTGAACATGGCAAATGTGGCAGACCACCATAGAAGAATTCATATCCAAAAAATAAAGAAGCACCAGCAACCAGCAACAGTACAAAGACAAAAGAAAATCACGAACTGGATCACAAACCGGATAAAATAGCAGTAAAAGGCCGAAATTAAAAACGGCACGAAAACCAAAATCGACCACACCAGGACGTAGCCGCCGATGAGATGAATCGACGGCTGAAGAATCACGGCGATCGGAGCTGGGGGTGAATCTCACGCTCTGGCTGAAGCTGCCAGCACTGTCGCAATGTTCCGGCGAGTGTGGGTCCCACGCGCCTCCGAACGGGCCCAAATGTTGACCGACGGCTCACCAGAAGATGCCGGAGAGGATGGTCTGGGAGGTGAGAATAGAAGACGGCCGGAGACGAGCGAAAAATACTAACCCTATATTGGACTATAAACCTAGTCTGATACCATGTGAGAAATTGGGAAAAATATGATATATGTTATTCACAAGACATGTACACATATATATGGATACATAGAGGCCTTAGCCGCCTAAACCTAACTTATTGTACAAGAAAACATCTAACATAACTAACAACGAGCTTGGCGAAGATCGGCAGTTTGGTGGGTTTCACGGCTCTTCCGATCAATATTGCATCAAATGAATCGGAATCTATCTAAAGCTAAGCCTGACTTAACAAATATTTGTGTTGTTAAAAGCTTATTGAAAAATGTTACAAATAATATTTTGTTATAGAAATTGAAGAGACTAGAGTTAAAGGGGCGAAGGAATTGATAAAGACAGTACTGCACATTCAATGGAGACTAGTTGTTGACCCGTGCATTTGCACGGAAAACCATATGATAGAGAGAAAAAAAAAAAAGAAAAAAACATTGTAAAAATCATAGCATAATCATTGAAGAAAACGTTAAGCAACAACATATTTAATCTAAATATTAATAAACACTTCTTTATAGACAACGTTTGTGGTTTTTCTATCATCCCACTCTCCATCCCCACAAATCATTATCTTCAAACATCTCCGATTCGTGACTCTAGATAGTGCCACATACAATTCTCCATGACCGAATACAAGATTCTTCAATAGTAAGCCGACGTGGGACAGTGACTGGCCTTGACTCTTATTGATAGTCATGGCATATGAAAGCATGAGCGGAAATTGTCGCGCTGAAATTTGAACGGTACCCTCAAATCGGATGGTATGATTGTGAGCCTAGGAATAAGAACCTTGTCACCAACTTTGGCGCCAGTTAAAATCTTGCATTCCAGGACATGAATTTTGAATTACCATTGTTGACATGGTTAACAAACATTCTCGGTCTCGCATTTTCATCGTCGTCAATTGTAAGATCAATTAAAGGTACCGAACCGCTCAAAGAAGTATTAGTGAGGTGGGATACTGAACTCTTTTGAGACGAACGTTAATAATTTAGGAAAGTAACACCTAAAATGAAAGGTTAAATAAAAGTCAGTAAAATAATAACATATTCCTAAAAGTATTTCTTATAATTACACAAGCACTTAAAAATTATAAAAAATTGAGAAAAATAAAAAATATAATACTGGATTATTGAATAATGGAAGGCGTGTTAGTAGGTATTGGTGTACCTGCAAACATTAAAATACATATATTTTAATTTAAGATACAACATTTATAAATTTATTCTTGTCAAACTAATTTTTTTAAACATTTATGAAAAAATAAAATGCATCTAACAAAAAGGATTTTAAGTTAATAAAACACTAAAGCAAACAAAATGACTTTTTAAGTAATTTGTACTACAATTTCTTTTGGTGGTCAATATTTATAATAGTTTTATTGGATACTATATATCATTATAAACTTATTGGGCCAAGAATTTAATAAATATGAGCCCAATTTTAATAGTTGTCAAAAGGAATGATGGGCATTTATAAAAAAACATATTGGGCCTTTATTAATTAATAAGTTATTGGGTTTAAAAGATCAGAATTCCATTCTCGGCGTGATGTGGCACGAGGTGACGCCTGGTCAGATCGAAAAAATTGCACTATTTGTCCACTAACTTTACATTCGTTGCACTTTCGTCCTTTAATTGTTTTCAATTTACAAAATCAAAAGAAAAAAAAATTATTAAGAAAAACAAAAGAAAAAGAAAAAGCTTTAAAAACAAAAAGAAAAGACATGTGGACAAAAAAATTAACCAAAAAAAGGAATATTAATTAATAAAAAATCATTTTGTTTAATGATTTTAAAAAAAAAAAAATATACTTTTTTAAAATAAAAATACATTTTTTTATTTAATTAAAAACGAAATAATTAATAAAAAATTAAATGAAAAACAAAATAAATGTTTAATGAGAAATAAATATTTTTTATTTAATAAAACAAGAAATATTTATCATTTTTTTTGTTTAATGAAAAAATATTTTTTATTTAAATAAAAAAATAGAAAAATATTTCATAAAAATGAAATATAAAACGAAATAAATATTTCAAGAGTAATCAATATTTAATAAGTATTTTTTATTTAGTGGTTAAATATTTAATGAAAAATTAAATATTTAATAAAAAAATATTTTTCATTTTTTATTAAATATTTTGTTTTTGTATTAAATACTTAATCATTAAATAAAAAATAATTATCACTCATTATAAATTTATTTCCTTTTTATTAAATATTTCATTTTTATTTAATCATTAAATATTTCTTTCTTTATTAAATTAAAAAATTATATTTTTTCTTTTTCTTTTGATTTTATCTTTTTCTTTTTAAAGCTTTTCATTTTTCGTTTGATTTTTTTAATATTTTTTTCTGATTTTGTAAACCGGAAACAATTAAAGGACGAAAGTGCAACGAATGTAAAGTTAGTGGACGAATAGTGCAAATTTTTCCAATCTGACTAGGCGCCACCTCGTGCCACATCACGCCGAGAATGGAAATTCCGATATGATTGGGCGCCACATCAGCTATTCCGACAAAAATGAGTGCTGGAATGTCATTTTGGACTAAAATTACCAAAAAAAAAAAAGTTAGTGTACCAATTGTAAATCGGAAACAACTAAAAGACGAAAGTGCAACGATGGTATAATTAGTGGACGAATAGTGCAATTTTTCCGTACACAATTATTGTGATTAACTACATGAAGCGAATCTTTAATTATGGTTCAAAGTCAAGATCAGAGAAACTTTGAATTTGTTTTTCATCAACCCTTGAGATGATCAATCACTCTTGTTTTATTTTTTAGGAAACATTAATTGCTGACTTTTGGTTTTCATGTAATTTACATCAGTTTCCAATATAAATAAATGTATAAATGATATCAAACCATACCCTATATTTTATTTATATTTTCAAATTCAAATAATAGCATAATGATCATCAAGGTAGGCCCAGTGGGTCGTAGAATTGGAAATGCATGGGATGAAAAGGGTCAAAATAAGATCGTTCAGATATTCATATGTCACGGTGAAGGAATCAAATCAATTCAGTTCCAATATGCAGATGAGAATGGGAAACTGGTGGTGTCCGATGTGCATGGTAAATACAATGGCCGTAATTTTGATGTGGTAAGTTGATTGTGTTCGTTTTGTTTTCTAAACTTTAGTAAACATATTATACTATTAATCGTGGAGAATGCTACGGTTATGTCGGAACTACATGATGATCAAACGGTTAAAAAATTTCTGACGGAATGATTCCGTAACGAGACCATAGTATTTCCATAGTTACATGTAATAAAATTTTGATTGCTTTTTGGCGATTTAGGTGAAACTAGGCTACCCAACTGAGCATATAACTTGGGTGAAGGGTCGCATTGGCGGCTACCTCCACATTCTATGTTCAATCACATTTGGAACGAATCGCGGTGAGTACGGCCCGTTTGGTATGTCCAATAACTACGCCACCGAAGAATTTGCTTTCCGGCTAGGTGACGACCGCCAATTCTGTGGATTTCACGGCACTGCTAATGAAAGCGGTGTCGAATCCATCGGAGTGTATCTTGAGCCAATTGCGACTTCAAATAATTTTATGAACAGAAAGGCCGTCAAGCTCGAGAAGAATGTCGCGAGTTAGATTTGGTACCCAAATCAGACAGTTTATGTAATTTACCCAATTAATTGATATCCAAAATCAATAATGGAATAATTATTAGACTTTTTTTTTGCGCGTCGGATTTTAAATTTACACAATCTTATTAATTTTCTAATATTGTGCATACATTTAAAATGAATATTTGAAACTCTTAAAAGCAATAAATTAAAATTATGTACATCATTTGATAAATATTTTTTAATACAATTACACCTTTTAATTACAAGTTTATCTTTATTTTTAATTACAAATACACTAACTTTTACTTTCTTTGAGTAGTTGATATGTGGTTTGTTTTCATATATACTAGTACGAACCTCCCGTGCGATACACGGGTTAGAGATATTTATTAATATTTATATATTAAAAATTTCAATGTTATTTGAAATTTAAATTGTACAAAAATTATATAGGACATGTTTATTTAAAATTAGTACACGACCCGATAACGAAGCGCAGTTTGAGTGACAAAATGTTTCACATATAACCAATAGGCCATGAGTTCGAGTAATTAAGTAGGGGGTGAGAACACTATTGATCCTCCTTAAGAAGAAGAAAAAAGAGGTAAAATTAATACACAACCCCTGTGGTGCATGTAATTTATAATAAAATACATTATATTTATTTCAAAATAAGTGTCATTTGAAATTTTTATCCAAAAATTCGATTTGCCTAATATGTGGTTGCATAAAATAATTATTTTGGTAAAATTTAATCGCATCATTAAAATTTTATATTTATATGAATGATAAGTATAATTCACTTTAGCTAACAAAATTGAATCTTTTATCATAAAACATAACTTCAAATTCTTAATTACCCGTGTGAGACGGATGAAATCTCGCAAAATGCAACCGAGCTATCACACAATATCTCTTACCCGTGCTTCTGACACGTGTACGTTGTCAAATGATTCCGGTACAAATATTATTCAGCCAACACGAAAAATCATTTTTATTGCCACCTCCCAAACTTGGTTTTTATTAATTTTTAAAATTATTATTATTAGTTATTAATTAAATGTGCCACTTTTAATATAAGAAAATTTAATTCTTTTTCTATATAGACACGTGTGGAATGACGTGGCTTGTTGCCTTCCCTTTCCCCTCTTTCTTCCTCCTCATTTTCTCTGATTTCTCTCTCTCTAACAAAAACTACATAGAGAGGCACACACATCTGCATAGATTAGAAAAGGCATTGAATATAGGGTTTGAAATTCGTAATTAGGATTCCTAATTTAAATCTTTTAAGGCATGTTAACTTACAGCTCTATTTTTATTTTTTATTTTTATAAATCTTGGTATTCGCTAAATTTATTCAGGGGCTGGTTTTATTTTTTAAAAATGGTAAATCTGTTATATATATATATATATATATATATTACATTTTTTTAAGTCGTTTATAAATGGTTTAATACGGTCTTATTTATAACAATGTAGTTTTGAAGGACATATACTACAAATACTTTATAGAGTTAAGTTCAAGTAAGAATAGTTTTAAATAAGATAAATAAGAATAAAACATAATCATTAGATCGGATGATATAACAACTACAAAAAAGCCAAAATTGTACCTTTATTAACGGCAATGTGGTAATTGTCACACCCAATCAACTCACATGTGGGTCCCATCTGACACCTCACCCATCTCTCTACCCTCTCTCTGTCGTTCCCTCTCCCTCTCACCCACAGGCTCAACCCACACACACACAAAAATAAACATGTCGGACCTCCACGGTGGCGCCGTCACCCCAACTCCCGTCGGAACTTGTGTGTTTTTGTGTTTTCATTCGTTGTGTATATTCGTTTAGTGTACTTTGTTTTGAGTCATCGCATGAGCTTGCATGATTATGTGCTTTTTTCTTATGCTTTTGGGTCAAGCAATGAAGACATTGCTTTGTTTTAAGTGTGGGGGAGGGACTTTCGTGATTATGCATGTTTAGGCGATTTTGTTTCGTTTTAGGTGCCTTATTTTTTGAATTTGTCGAGTCGTGGACCGGTTTAGTTGTTGTTTTCGTGTGTTTGTGTCAACTCTTCCACATGAAGCTTGATGTTTGTTTGAGAGTCGAAAAAGCTAAATGGTGAGTCGAGGTTGTTGATTCGTTTCATTATTAACGTTCGTGCTTTATGTACTCGATGAATTGGACGGTGTCCAAAAATTGATTGATAATTCGTTGACATTGGAAACCGCATGCGAATTCACGAAATTGTTTTGTCCCTTGTTGTTCTCGATTGATTGTCTTGAGACATGCTTACCTTATGTTCGATAATCATTGTAAACGTGTTATCTACACACTTGTGGTATATTTTGATTGAATTGTAATGATTATTGTATTGTGATGTATCTTTGTGCGCCTCTCCTTTCAAAAAAAAAAAGGAGAAATAAAATGTGAGTTCGCGAGGAAGTACGGATTAGGCTCCTCTTATTCTGAGCCACTTCATGGAAATTTCATGGATCTTACCTATTGGTTCGGGAAAGATGGGAAAAGCATGGGTTTTGGAACCGTAATAAGAAAAGAACTGGAGCTCGAGAGAACAAGCAACAGATTGAGCAACTAGCGCGAAAGTCGTTGCGCGTTAGCGGGATAATGAGCACGAGAAACCGGTCTAGAAAACTCGAGAAAACCCCTCGAGGTTAAATCTAGATAAGCATCGTTCGAAAACCTCATTTGGAAAAAGAAGCTCACGAAAATGAGTTCGTGAGAGTTGAAAGGATTAGGCTCCTCTTGGCTCAGTTAGTATTCTAGATAAACCGGGCCAACTGTTTGTTATGTTTTTGTGCTTATTTTTATGTGGTTATGTGTGTTATCGAGTCGATTTTAGGTTCGTTTTGGCGTTGACCGGTCCATTTTGTCGCATTTTGTGTGATTTTATGTTTTTCGTTTCATTTTATATTTTGGCGTACTTTTCCGTGCTCATGGTATATTTTCAGGTTTTTCCCGAGGATTAAAGGCAAGTCAAACCGAATCCCAAGAGACGAGCATTTTCGAGCCATTTCGTACCAGCAAATTCTTACTCGAGCATGTCGAGCTCTTGACGAGATTACCCTGCTGGCCTGCACTCGCGCGGTCGCGCCCTTGCCTATGCACTCGCGGACGCACGCAGCAGCCGGTCACGCACACGCCCTGTCTTGACACTCGCGACGCTGCGCCTACACTTGCAACCTCGCGGACGCGCATTGCTCGGAGTTCGCGACATCGCTCCTGTGCCCACGACCACACGGACGCGCGAGACCTTCTCAGCTGCTCGTGAGCTCGTGGACCTTCCAGCGACATCGAGAGTGTCGCTCACTACTGCCCCGCGCTCGCGCCGTCGCAAATCTCCTCGCGAGATCGAGAGTTCCCATCTTCTCGTGTGCCCGCACGCCTTACGTCGTCTCGCACCAAAGCCCACTCACGCCCTCGCCCGGACATCCACCACTCGCGTGATCGTGGATCCGCGCGCGTCATCGAGAGTGCAGCGCCCCGTGCACGCCGTGCTGTCATCATCTGCGTGCTCGCGGATTTCGTAGCTATATCGAGAGTGTCCCATTTTAAACTGTGTTTTTTAGTGTGTGTTTTGAGTAGAGTATAAATATATTTGTTTTTTTGCATTTTGAGGATCCAACTTTCATTTTTCACTTTTCCTTTTTGGGAAGTTAGCTTATGTTTTATTTTGCTCTCTAGATTAGGAGCTTATGCTATTTTCCGGGAGATTTTCTGGCGACTTTGGTTTCTTTCAAGTTTTGAGCTTTTGACTCCGTTTTTCATCGTCTACACAATGGAAGGATGAGTATTTAGTTTTAAAGCTCTTTACTTCGGTTTTTGCTCCATTTTTACTTATAATGTTCATTAGGGTAAATTTGGATTTTACTGATGATGGAGAAAATGCTTGTACTTGATTGTTTGCTTGAGTAGATGGAGGAGTTAATTGCTTGTTGATCTTGTTTAAGAATTAAGGCCCGATTAGGGCTTAATCACTTAGGGTTAGACGACTAGGGTTAGCAATCTAATGCTCATTGCTCATTTAGTCTTTATGTCGTTTTGGTTATCATTCCGTTATGGTTATATCATGAGACTTCGGTGATCTAGTTTGCTATTTGCTCGTGATTTGATATTGCTTTTAGTTGATTGCTCGTTTTCTAGAGCTCGTTTAGTGATAATCATCCTCCAATCCAATTGCTTAGAATGTTTAGGACTTTATTTCTCTTTTTGTGATTTGGACAATCAACTAGTAAGTGAAGCTCCGAATAGCCTTCCCTCGAGATCGACCCGAGTCGGGTAACTCAGTTATCCTGTGCCCACCAAATCTTTACTAAACACCAACGAGTGCCGGAAACCGACTTAGCAGACTCGGGGACAAACCCCGAGGATAAACCTAAGTAATAATTGTCCCAACGGCTTTCATTCGAAAAAAAGTTGACGCATTTAAAAAAAAGAGAGAAAAATAATAATAATAGAAAGGGAGTTGGCTTATGGTCTCGTTTCTATCTTTTTATGTTGTTTCAACCTCATTTAGCTTTTTGCACGTTTATATCGAAAAGGAGCGTGAATCGAGGAAATAATGTGTAGGATGACTTGGGACGGGTTTTTGTTTTGTATGAATTCATTTTGTGGGGACATATTATCGAATTTGAGTGTGGTTCTATGATTGCTGAATGATAAGGAGAGTCTCATTTTCGCATGATTGTTAACTTTGGACCACTCGATATTTTTTCTCGAACTACTTAATATTTTGTTTGCTTGAAGACAAGCAAAAGGCTAAATGTGGGGGAGTTGTTTGTTATATTTTTGTGTGTTTCTCTTGTGTTTTTATTTGCTTGAGTCGAGTCTTTTTAGGTTCGGTTTGTGTCCAGGTCCATTTTTGTTCATTTTTAGTAGCCTTCCGTTTTTGAGTTGTATTCGCGTATTTTTCTATCTCCTTGGTGCGTTTTGGTGTTTTGTAGGTATGGACGAAAGGAATCGATACAAAGAGTCGAGTTTCAAGTCAAACGGAGTCCAGTGA